AGGTGTTTTAAAAAATTACTCGCAGAAACAGCTTCCAAGAGGCAGAGACACTCAACCCAGTCTTTGCCAACTCAAAGCACAAGTTTAAAAAAAACAAAACAAAACAAAAACCTTTTTGAATATGAAATGTAACACACATACAAAAAGTGCAGCATGTGGGGAAATCCATTGGCTTCTTTTCCCTTCTCCACCCTGCTCGGTCTAAGAAGCTGAGGGTACAGATTGCATCCGAAGGCTCCGGGCCCCCAGCTTCCACTGGGTTCTGCTAATGGGAGCCTCAGAGCAGATTTCAGGGGAGAGAAGCCCGAGGCTGGGGGACTTATTCCCCTGGTTCCCTCTTTCTTGCAAGGTTCCCTCAACAGAAAGTCACTACTGTTCTCCAGGCAGGTTCCCCTCCCTCCAGGTCCTAGTAACCTCTCCCGCCCTGGATCTCTTCATGCCCATGCCAAATGGGGTAGGGGGAGAGGGCACCACAAGGCAACAGTCCTGCCAGTTTCCCCGTTCCTCCCGAGGTTCCATTCCTGTGTCATGAGACCCTCACGAATAAGCCCTCCTTGACTCATCTTAAAATCTGTTTTCTACTGACACCCTTACAGATACAAGGACAAAACAAAAATATACAGCTTAATGAATTATCACAAAATAAACACTGGAGTTATTAGCACTTAGGTCAGTAACTAGAACTTGCCAGCATCCTGGAAGCTCTCTGGTATGCCCTCCTTACTACTGTACTCTCCCACAACCCTCCAAAGAGTTTCAACACCTATGCATGAATCGCTCAACATCTGATTTCAATTTGGTCTACTTTTTGAAATTCATATAAATGAAATCATACCATATAAATTCCTTCATGACTGGCTTTTTTCACTAAACACTATATGCCCAAGATTCACCCATGTTATTGCCTGTGCCTGCTACAGGATTCATTTCGATTGTGAAAAGCATTCACCTGTATGTCTACACAACAACTGATTTATCCATTCCACAGCTGAACATATGGGTTGTTCCTAGAGCTACTAGAAATAATGCTACTGTGAACATTCTTATCCATGTTTCTTAGGAGTGGAATCTGAGCCATAGGGTAGATGTATTTTCATTTTACTACTTAATAACCAACTATTTTCCAAATTGAAACTCCCACCAGCAATGCACAAGAATTTCCAGTTGCTAGAATATACTATTTCCTTTACCTGTGAGACCAGAGTCTGTAGAGGGCCACCATGTACCTCATGGTAACCAGAGATTTCTACTCAATCAGCTGTCCTCAGGACTCTGACTGGATCTCTAGTCGGTTAGTGCAGTGTCACACTGTTAACTCTTGGCCTGGGGTTCTGCAGGACGTCAGTGGTCCAGGACTTTACTCTCCTGCAGCAGCCTTCTCCTAAGATCCTCCAAGTGAGAGAATCTTTAATATCTTTAAGGAACTCTACTTTCATTGCTGATTTAGATCTATTTTAACTAGAATTATAGATCACTTTGGTTATCTAGGCTCAATTTGTTTGCTGTGAGTTAAGTAACTGCCTGATTATCTATACGCTTGTAAAATTTTTCAGCTGTACAAAAATTGCCAAGGAAAAGGAATTTGAGAACTCCTAAATTTATAATACAATTTAGGAAATCAAGTGAAAAGGAGGTTCATATCAACTTGGCCATAGGATTATAGCTGTAAGGTGTTGACATTCTTCTTAAAAACAGATTTAGACAAATAGTACCTCAATCTTCTTTATCGAGGAAAGTATTCAATATAGCTCCTTCATTAAAAACAAACAAAACACACACACACACACACAAAACAGAGCAGTCCGTTTAGATACAAGTTTGACAGAGAGAGGGGTAGGGCAACAAAGATTCCATCACCTCAAAATGGGAAACCGATAAGGTCACCAAGCAGTAAGATTCTACCCCTACCCCCGAACCTGGTTCATGGCACTCCTCACTTCCCTCACAACCCTCTTCTTGGGGACAGGTGGCTTGTCTACCAACCACTCCAGCCTTCCGTGTTGATGGCCACCCTCCCTGAGAAAAACAAACATTAAGGACAGTGATCCCTTCCCCAAAACACTGGGGTAAGGAATTAGAACAAGATCCCCTCCCCTTGTGCATGCAGTGGTAAAGAGAAATATGTTAAGAACAGGAAATATAATTCTATCTGTGGTGTAGACAAATATAACTGGGACTTACTGTGTAAATCCATTAACTACATCCTTCCTAAGAATTACGAAATTGGCCTAACTAAACTATATTCACTCAAAAACTGGACTCGAGCGCTAAAATAAAAACTCATTGAGGGCTTTTAACATCTAAACCAGAATTCAAAAATGGAACAAAAACAGATCATTTCATAAAGCGAAGGGAAGTAAAGCCCCTGGGATATGTGAAATCCCTCTTCTGCAAGATGAAAAATTTCTCTTTCACTCATATTCCAAAATAAGTGAGGAAAGTACAGTGGCATGAACAGTCCCAGAACGAGGGAAGTTCTTCTGCTTGAATAAAAAATTCATTAAGCTCAAGTATTAAAGAAGCAAACTGGACACTGTAAGAGTTAATTTCTTGATCCATTGTTTACTTGCTGCCAAATGGTTCTGGGGAATTTTTCTCAGTGTCATTCTTTTTTACCACCAACATAAAGGTGTTTTGGAGGGCCAGGGACACAGGGAATGGTGTGAAATACCACAGGGGTCATGGAGAGGAGAGGAGGGTCACTGCCCTGAGCCTGAGTCTCCACGTTGGCCTGGTGACTGGCAGATGCCCTCCCCTAAGTAGGTCACAGCATCCCTGATGCTGTCACCCGGTGCAACAATCCACCCACGACTCCCTCGACCCTCCACCTCTTCACCTACATTTTCAGTCACACGTTCTACCAGTATTTATTAAACGCTTGCTACACACATACAACACATGCCAACCCTGAGAAACTTCAATTTAGTGGAGGATAAAAGGGAAGGAAACACTCAACAATACAAACACAGGCCACCACAGGGACAAGTACCAAGTGCCAAGGAACCTTACAGGGGTGAACAACCAACCCAGCTTCAGAGGCCAGGGAACATTTCCTGGAAAGGGCAGCACTGGAAGTAAGACTTAAGGACACACAGCCTCTGGCCAAGCCAAGAGATGTGACGGTTGGTGGAACAGCACGAGAAAGGCAAGGAAGAACAAATGCAAAAGGTCCCACATGAGTAAAACGGAGAGGAAGTGGGGAACGAGAGCTGATCTACCCTCAAGCCTCGCCTCTGTGTCTCTCTTTGCAAGACTGGCAAGTAGGAAAAAAACAATCTCCCTGTGTACAATAAAGGACTCAAACCTTAATGAGCTACATGCCATCGCTGCACTGGTTGGTTTTAGCAGCACAGGGAACATTAATCAATACTTAATGAAAAAAAAAAACTTGTGACAGGGCATATGAAATTAAGGCAATGGAAAGACTGGATCTGCAGATAAGAGGTTCCTAATCCAGCTGAAATATCAAACTCCCGAACTGCACATGAAACATAAATCCATGCAACGTAACTGAGCAATGAATAAATCCTGTCTGGTGAATATGCTGATCCACTCACCTCATAACAAGAAGTTTATTCCAGCAGCCAGGGTGGTAAAGGGAGGACCTTGGGCGGGGGGGGGGGTCTGAGTTCCTTAGCAAGGGACTGGCCCTCTTTAGGCCTTGCACCCTCATCGACACAAGGAGTTGCTTAGGTTGCTGTCAATGCTTCTAAAACCCATTACTATGATGATGGCAGGTTATCACAACCAAAAGTACTTAATCACCAAAGACAAGAATTTAAATAACTTTTATAAGTCACAGACTTACTATGCTTTTTATCTGAGGACAAAAAGAGCAAGGGCCCTCAAACTGTCTTAAATTCAAAAAGCAAATAGTTAAGTTCACGTACCTTTTAAAAGTTGACAAATCATGTATCACCAAAAATAAAGATAAAATTTTAAGACAAGCAAATGAGATATTTTTTTTAAGAAAAGAGAAAGTAAAAAATTTAATGTAACAAGGCAGGCGATGATTGGGGTTGCTCACTTCCCTACCCATTGGTTTCACTTCCCTTACCGAGGTTAAAATACTCCCAACATGCAAATTATTCCACTGAAGAATTCCAGTCCTTTCTAAGCAATTTGCAGAGATGTTTATACAAAAGAGATTATTTCTATACTTCCATGTGACAGAAAAGGGACAGAATGCATTAGGGATTAAAAAATAAAGAAGGGGTGCCTGGGTGGCTCAAGTCGGTTAAGCATCTGACTCTTGATTTCCGTTTAGGTCACGATCTCAGGGTCGTGAGATTGAGCCGTGTGCTGGGGTGGGGGGGTCTACTTGAGATTCTCCCTCCTTCTCCTTCTGCCCCTACCCCCTACCCCCCACCCGCCTCACACTCACTCCTCTCTCTTGAAAAAAAAAAAAAAAAGGCAAACCAAAGTGCATAAATGCATGTGCAAGGCAGAGGCAAATAATCGAGGATCCCAATTTTAACCACTTAGAAATATCTTAACAATAAAAGTGGGTATTTTATGATTTCTGGAACTTTGTGATAAAGGGTTAACTCTGTTTAGGAGTACCTAAATTAGTACAAAATGCCAGGCACTATGTTAAGCACTTCGGATTTTTCTGGTTTAGAGTCCTCACAATCCTATCAGATGAGTATTATCTCTATCTTAACTGTATAGAGACTAAGTAGGAACAGAGACTCAAGGGGTTAAGTAGAAAAAGTCACACAGCTTAAAAAGTGAAGAAGCTATACTATGAATCCCATCCTAGTCAACATCAAATCTCATTCTCCTTCAATAGATGATGCAGACTTTAAGCATCAAAGAAAAGGAACTAAATACATTTTCCTCTATTTGTTTGATTCTCTTAACTATATGCCTTCATTTCCAGCGGAGTTTATGCTAATCATGACTTCATAAACAAATCATTTGTGAGAGAAACCACATCCAGGGTAAAGTCATAAGTTGAAAACGCCTTATTTCAGAGAGTACTTCCTGAAAGAGACAAAGCAGCAATTATAGCCGAAGGAGTACCAACTCCTATGCCAAGTATTGTATTTGAAAAAACGTTGTGAATGAAAAGAAGAACCTAAAACAAAAGAAATACTGCATTTCTTAAATATACCATTTTTAGAAAGAGCTATTTTAACACAAGATATCTCTTTTACATAACTGGATATGATGAAAAATGTTCCTCTCTAGCACAGCCTTTTGATGGACAGGAGGTAAGTAGCATTTAGTTAATTTCATCACAGATTATCACCAAGTAATGCTATACTTAAGAGGTACAAACTTCTAGTTTTAAGTAAGGCACGGGGATGAAAAGTACAGCATGGGAAAAGTGGTCAATAATATTGTAATAACTTTGTATGTGACAGAAAAAAAAAGTAGTGCTATACTTATTAAGTTTCAAAATAATTTGTTTTAACAATACATTACTGACACTATGCTGGCAAAGGACTTTGAAATGGGTTATGCTGTCATGTTCCTACACTATTTATGTGATTTTTTATTTATTTTCAACATTGTCTTACGTTAACAGTAAATGTAATTTTTTTCAACTTAAGGAAAATGCTGCTATGATAAATCATATTTAGGAGTCTTTATCACTTGGTTTCAATTACACTGTTTCACAAAATGTACTTAAATGCTTCAAAAAAAAAGACTAAGGGGCGCCTGGTTGGCTCAGTCAGTTAAGCGTCCGACTCTTGATTTCAGCTCAGGTCATGATCTCAGGGTCTTGAGATCAAGCCCCCAACACACATAGTCTGCTGGAGGTTCTCTCTCCTTCTCCCTCTGCCCCTCCCCCACTCCCTCCCTCCCTCCCTCCCTCTCAAACAAATCAATCTTTAAAAAAAGACTATAGTGGGCGCCTGGGTGGCTCAGTTGGTTAAGCAACTGCCTTCGGCTCAGGTCATGATCCTGGAGTCCCAGGATCGAGTCCCATGTCGGGCTCCTGCTCAGCAGGGAGTCTGCTTCTCCCTCTGACCCTCTTCCCTCTCATGCTCTCTATCTCTCATTCTCTCTCAAATAAATAAAATCTTTAAAAAAAATAAAAATAAAAAAATAAATGTTAAAGTAACTTTAAAAAAATAAAAAATAAAAAATAAAAATAAAAAAAGACTATAGTTCCTGAATCTAAAGTTTTTAAAACGCTGACTTGAAAGCCAATCACTTTTTAATATTTATCCAAAAATGTATTTGTGTGTATAACAGCACAGCCTGTCTGGTAATGCCTTTAAAACATGCATCACACATATTTTTTTCAACCTTAAGCAAATGAATACAAGTGTTGGTAACATAAAGGCAGCTTGAGCCCAAAGGGGGTTAAAAGATTTACTCAAAAAGGGTTTGTAACTATGAAATTTACGACAAAATTCAGGGATAAGGATGGGGGAAGGGAGTCCAGAAACAATATCAAAAGAGAAAAAAGATACAAAATTTCATTTACAACTGCTACTATTTAAAAATTCAATGAAAATTTAAAGAGTCAAGCCTCCAAAATTATTCTCCTTTGTATAATACTGGAGATTTAATTTTTCTATGTAGTACTTTTCTCATTTGATAGGAATTAAAATTCTAGTCACACCAATATTTGAAAATTTTAATTAATACAGGCTATTAATATATACAATTCTAATCCAAAATCTTATCTAACCTAGATACTTGGCTAACTAGCTGTAGTCAAGAAGGAAGGAAAAAAGGTGGGGGGGAATGGAGGAACAAACTCTTATCTTGTGTTTGTTCACAGCAATTGCTCAAATTCTTTTTTTTTTTTTTTTTTGCTCAAATTCATTTTAAATTATCAACAGCCCATGATGCCACTGACCACACTGCTAATCACCCCCACAGTTCTCACACTAAAGGAAGACTCAGGGCTGATTTAGAGACAGCCCACTCTAACAAGTGACATTTCTAAAGGAAACTTTTCTTACACCTCCATGTTTCAAGGAGATACCACAAGATTCCATCTCTTTGTAAGCGAGTTTATTTTTAAAATCACTGTTGTTGACGTTGCATCATGGGTGATGGATGTTTCACTCTGAGGAGGGTCGATGATATTTACAATCACAACTAAACTCCTTTCCATTAGAAATGGACATTGTTTGACAGGAATTAGTTCCTGCATACACCTAAAGTTATTGAGTGACTTCTAATTAGTAACTACTTGTCTTTGATATTGCTTTTTAAAATTTAATTTGACAAATAATACTTAAGTTTCTCTAGGTAGAGGGAGGGCATAAGAGTTACTATCCTAGCAATGTCCTCTTCCCAAGGTGTTGCTTTCTGCGCACACCAGCGACAGCCATTTCTAGGACACTGGTAAACACCATCTGAAGACAGCGTTAGGCACTTCCAACCGTGCATGAAAAACTAGCTCATCTGTTGTTCTAAGAGTCCAGCTCTTAATCTGTGAACCATGGCGCAACACACTGCTGTTTCTAGACCTATGGTAATTGAGAAAGAACTTAATACTATGAGGAAGTGTTTCCACTTAAAAATAAATAGGTTTAATAACTAACCAAGCAAGTATTCATTGACAAACCAGAGAGTAGTTGCTGTGGGTCCCTCCTTCACTCATCCATCAATTCAGCAAACATTTACTTAATGAGTACTCCTAGGGACTCAAGAAGCAGTGGGGATATAGTAGGTAAAAGGAAAAGTTCCTGCTCTCCAATGAGAATTACTGTGAATTAACCAGTTATGGGGTTCCTTTATTAGTTTTCTAATACACATTTTATATATTAAAACTATGTTTAATGAGTAAAAATTCATCCTTTGGACATCACTAACCTGGGTTACAAAACATTTAAACAGAATAAAGATGATAAAAAAGTAGCAAACTATTCTGTAAGATTCAAAATTCAGAATGGCCTTCTCCCAATTAGTCCCAATCAAAGAATGTTTATTATAAGAATAATTGCTACCCAATTTCACACTACAGGAAAAATCACTTAAAAAAAAAAAGTTATTCTTTAGGGGAAATGAGAGGTGAGCAGAGAGAGAGAAAATGAATAAATTTTCCAGTGCTTTATAACACACCAGACCATTTTAATAGGTTAGTGCATATTAGTAATAATACCTACGAAATGTATTTCTTAATAAATGCTAAGACGCATACATATGTTGACTCTACAACACAAAATACTCTTAAAATTAAAATCCACTATCATGCCAAGTCAAGGATGAGAGTGTTAAGCATTTATTTTTCAACAAAAGGTTTTATTCCTCCTATTCTTCTTAACTATTTTACAGTTTCTAAGTGTTGTTCCCCCAACAAACTATAAGATGACCACTCCTCACAATCAAGTTCAACCTGGCCCTTTGAATGATTTACAACCAGAAGAATACAAAATCGCAGCCCTTATCTTCTACAGCTGTATCTTCATAATCGGATTATTTGTTAATGCCACTGCCTTATGGGTTTTTAGTTGTACCACCAAGAAGAGAACCACTGTAACCATCTATATGATGAATGTAGCATTACTGGACTTAATATTTATAATGAGTTTACCCTTTCGGATGTTTTATTATGCAAAAGGAGAATGGCCATTTGGAGAGTACTTCTGCCAGATTCTTGGGGCTCTCACGGTGTTTTATCCAAGTATTGCTCTATGGCTTCTTGCTTTTATTAGTGCCGACAGATACATGGCCATTGTGCAGCCAAAATATGCCAAAGAACTGAAAAACACAGGCAAAGCCGTGCTAGCATGCCTGGGAGTCTGGATAATGACCCTGACAACTACCATCCCACTTCTACTGCTCTATGAGGACCCAGATAAGGCCTCCACACCCCCCACCTGCCTGAAGATTTCTGACATCACCCACTTAAAAGCTATTAACATGTTAAACTTCACTCGACTGATATTTTTTTTCTTGATTCCCCTGTTCATCATGATTGGGTGCTACTTAGTCATCATTCATAGTCTCCTTCACGGGAAGACATCCAAGCTGAAACCAAAAGTCAAAGAGAAGTCTATAAGAATCATCATCACACTCATGGTGCAGGTGCTCGTCTGCTTTATGCCTTTCCACATCTGTTTTGCTTTCCTGATGCTGGAAGGGGATGAGAACAGTTACAATCCCTGGGGAGCCTTTACCACCTTCCTCATGAACCTCAGCACCTGTCTGGATGTGATTCTCTACTACATTGTTTCAAAACAATTTCAGGCTCGAGTCATTAGTGTCATGCTCTACCGCAATTACCTTCGGAGCGTGCGTAGAAAAAGCTTCCGATCAGGTAGTTTACGGTCACTAAGCAATGTAAACAGTGAAATGCTTTGAATGATAAGCAGGTTTTTGTCTTTAGTTTCTTTATATTCACTTTACTAACTACCCTAAGGCCAGTGAATATTCTGTATGATATTACCAAGTCCCTTCTCTCCTGAAAAAAACAAACTAAAAAAAAACACTTTTGTGGGATCTAAGTATGTGACAACATAATTAAATATTCTTAATTATTCTAATGAATTATTTTTTTTCAAAACTTGTATAAAACATATTTGGAGTTACTGGGAGAAAAATATCCAATTTGTATTTCACAATGAAGCCTTACCTAATATACAGTTGACAACGTTTTGGATTTAATTCTACGTGCAAGTGAGTTGATGTCAATCAAGTCAGTAGGCCAAAAAAAAAAAAGAAAATCCACTTACTGTTCAAAATAGTTTAAATTGTTAAATTATAATTTGATTAAACCCAAACCAAAGCTCCCTTTGGTTTAATTTACACTCAGGATTGACGGTCTAAATCTTACTATATTTTGTGTTCTAAACACCAAACTTCCAAGATTCCTGCACAAACAACTATGTTCAACCCATCACTGTTACATGCCACCAACCAAAATTAACAGGAGCAATCACCTGAAGGGGCCTGCAAAGGCAATCTCCATCAGCCCTCCCCTACTCTGAATTCATTTTTTTTTTTGGAAACAGATAATAGTCATTCAATAAACACTTAACTGAGAGCCTACTGTGCACCAGACTCTACTTACAACCAATGCAGGAGACCCAATCCGAGAATCTATTTCAGCCCAATAACCCAAGTTCATTCCTATGACATGAAATTTCCTGCTGTAGGGTAAAATATATTTCTCCAATATAAACAGTTTGCTCTTCTTATTGATTAAACATCACATTACAAGAGAATGATTTTTTTCCCAGGCCATATGTCACGGTATAACAGCACTAGTCAGGGACCTTGGATTCTTACCATAGCCTTGCCATTTAATTTCCCCTAATAAAGTAACAAACCAAGTAACTTCCCCATTTAAAAAGAAAAGGAAGTGAACTATAATCTGTAAAGCACATATTATTCTAAATATTATGGAAATACACAAATGAGTCTATCGTAACTTCCTCTCTGCTAAATCACTTTCATTACTCTTAACATGATCACCTCCTAATGGGACTAAGAATCAAATAAATGCATTAGTTAGAAATGGATTTCTATAATTAACATGGGTAAATTCATATTCTTAAAAAAAAGAAAAAAAAAGGTAAACATGAAGGAGCCTAATCATAAAATAGTGTTTTAATACTAGAAGATCCCTTAGATGATCTTCTAGTCTAACTCTTCTGTTTTATATATAAAGGAACTAAAGTCCAAAGAGGTTCTGTGACTTGCTCAGTCGAAGAACCAGGACTAGAAACCAAGTTCCTGTTATGTCAACCACCAATTTTCAATAATAAAAAGCAAACAAGTTCATAGAACATAAACATTCTCAGAGCTACATAGGATAAAGGAGTCAAGATGGTACTGAGACGCAGTTTCTCTTAGACGTAGTTTCTCCACAAAGAGAAAACTACTTGAAGTTTTTAGTTTAAATAGTCAAGTGAGCAAGATACTTTAGCAAATATCTTTTAAACAAATTATTATTTCTGAAACATGGGAAATAACTCCTATATTTGATATATAGGTTTAGGGTATGTATATACAGTCATAGCCTACTCTCAACTATACAGTCTAATCTACTCTTACGTAATTTATTTCTTTTTTTTTTGTATTTTTTTAAAGATTTTATTTTTAAATACACCCAGCATGGGGCTCAAACTCACAACCCTGAGATCAAGAGTTGCATGCTCCACCAACTGAGCCAGCCAGGCGCCCCTTGCTAACTTATTAAATGGCAAGTTCTCTGCAATGGCTTTTCTTGACAAGAAGAACTTAACTTGGGAGCACAAAATACAACAAAAAACTATTGACACAAAGTGAAAATACATGTTATGGTTCTCACAGTAAAACTATAGATAATCTAAAGCACAATTAAAAAATAATTTTATTAGGCTGTAATCAGATACATTTTAACATGGTATGTGAAAACTCAAAATTCCACTTATTCTGGAGAGTTTCAATTCTGAGAAACAATATAACATCCACATGTAAATACTAATACCTAAAAAATAATAGGTACTTAAGGACAGTTGTGTGAGAGGCATGGGTTTATAAAAGCACCTAATATACATAGCTTTTAATGGAGTTATCTTTACTTTCAAAACATAATGGTTACATTTTCTGAATTTCAAATAACAGTCTTGAGAATCTATCAGATGCTACGTATAATTTCTATGCAGGGCACTAGAAAAGAAATGAACAGGTCTATGGTTCAAAGACCTTACCTTATAGTCTTATGGGCTACACTGCAATCAAGGCTACCCCTTCAACATTACAGAATGTAAGGCAACTGAGTACATAAAGTAAAACTAGTTCTCCCTCAAACAGCCAGAAGGATGGCATGGAAGGCCCAGGTCATAATGACAATGACAATGTAATAAACGCTAGGGATCTTAATAAATTTGCTGGAATACACATAAAACGGCAACTATTCCTGCCAAAGGGCGACAGGTGCAGAAAGAAAACCAAGTAGGCACGAGAATACAAATACATAGCATGTTAGGAAAGCTGAATGACCAATGGAGTGGCTTGAAACACTGGACTGGGGCTAGATTATGAGGACTCTAAAGGGAAAGAAGAAAATCAGTGTGGGGGGTCGGGGGTTGTCACTGCTAGGATGTCTGCATGAAAGAGCTCTCTTAATTCTTCCCACTGCCTGGGAAGTATAGAGTTCTAACCCTCAATTTACATATGATGATCCACTATAAACTGAGCTCAGGAAGAGAACTTGAGAGAAGTAACTTGCTCAAGATTATACATAAGTAATACCGTGGGAGAGCTGGAATCTCAAATCTGGCATATCTGATGGCAAAGCCTCTGCACTCCCACTATTCCAGACTGCTTTGCTGCCATCTTGGAGGAGTCTGATTTTTACTTTGAAAGAATGAGGATTTAAAAGATTTTAAAAGGAAGACTGGCATGGTTGAACTTGCATTTTGGAAGAAGAATTTCTAACCACATTATATGGGATGCTTTGAAGTGGATAGGAAGACTAGTTAGAGAATTATGGAAAAATCCAGGCAGGAAAAGATCAGAGTTTAGGGGCACCTGGGTGGCTCAGTCAGTTAAGTGTCTGCCTTCAGCTCAGGTCATGATCTCGGGGTCCTGGGAATGAGTCCGGTGTCAGGCTCCCTGCTCAGTGGGGAGTCTGCTTCTCCCTCTCTCTCTCTGCCCCTCCCCTTGTTTGTGTGCTTGCTCTCACTCTCACTCTCTCTCAAATAAATAAGTAACATCTTAGAGTTTAGACTGACCAGACAGCAGGAGTAGAGAAGATGTGGTGAATGAATGATTTACACAGGACTTCAAATTAACAGGACCTGGTGCCCTAGTCCAAGGATGAGAAAAGAGAAAGACTGGATGACCAGGTAGATGGAAATGCCATTAATGGAGATGCGAGCCCAGCAAAAGAGGAGACCAGAAGAGATGAGAGCTCAGAACAGGACAAATTTTCTCGGAGTCTTAGAAGTCACCAGAAACATGACTCTAGCAAGATCAGGAGAGTAATATGGGCTGGAGATAGAGAGCTGGGAAACAAACAAGGGATGTTAACTGTAGCTGACATCATGGGAGTGGAAAAGGAAGCCCAGAGAAAGCCCAGAGTAAGCTTGAGAAAGGAGTTGCACACAATAAATAAGATCAAAAAGCACCAGGAGAGAGCAGTGTGCTGGGGCTCAAGACAGCAGGTTAGTTCATGAAATAATGGGAGCTCAGAAATATTTATGAGCTACTGAAAGGGTAAATAAAACAAACGAAAATAAGACACTGGCTTTAAAAATTAGTTGGTTGCTAGTGACATTATAAGACAAGTTTTAACTACAGTGAGGTAAAAAAAAAAAAAAGAGAGAGAGAGAATTAAATAGAAATGAAGAATTGTAGAGAGTGCAAATAAATTTGGCATTTGGCGGCAAAAGAAAAAGGGTAACAAGAGGTTATGTGAAGAATACTGCAAACTATAAAGCACACTGACTAAAAAAAAGAGTAGTTTCTTCTCCTGAGTTTCTGAAGCTTTGCTAACATCTAATGAAGGATGTATTTACAAAATGCAGAGTTTACTGAAACAAAGATTTATGTTCCAAGAAGTCTATGTTTGAGAAAGCTTCAGGACTCTAAAAAGCCATATGTAATGTTTCATGATTTGACAAGGAAAGAGAAATATGTTCTCATTCAGGTGATGGCTGAATTAACATTCATATTGTCTTTCAATATACTTCCATATCTCAGGAGGCCATAGGGAGAACCAAAAAGAATTAGCCTAGATGAGAAATGTTTGGGGAAAACTAATGACTTAGTAACGCTGCTTCTCTTCTGAATCAACATGAATCATTCCTGATGACTACACTATTTTCCACAACAGCAAAAGAGTCAACTTAAACTTCTCCATCTAGGGGTACCTGGCTGGCTCAGTCAGTTAAGCGTCTGTCTTTGGCTCAGGTCATGATCCCACAATTCTGGGATCGAGCCCCGCGTTGGGCTCCCTCCTCAGCAGAGAGCCTGCTTCTCCCTCTCCCTCTGCCTGCCTCTCTGCTCTCTCTCTCTCTAATAAAGAAATAAAATCTTAAAAAAACAAAACAAGGGGCGCCTGGGTGGCTCAGTCGGTTAAGTGTCTGCCTTTGGCTCAGGTCATGATCCCAGGCATCCTGGGATCGAGCCCCGCATCGGGCTCCCTGCTCAGCAGGAAGCCTCCTTCTCCCTCTGCCACTCCCCCTGCTTGTGTTCCCTCTCTCGCTGTGTCTCTCCATTCAGATATCATTCAGAATCACACATTATTAAAACAGCTAATGGTCAAGTTATTTAATGAGTGCAATAATTAAGTAAATCCCATAAAGGCAACACTGTAAATATTAACAGCATAAGTGTGAAGGCTATTAGATCACTAACTATATTTTTAATGTGGAGATGCAAAGTGAATCTGAATTAAGACACATTCAGTACCCAAACAGTTCTCTAAAAACACATAGCTAAATTAAAATAAGGCAGAAGTTAGTACACACAGAATTTTAAATATCTGATGTATCTTTATTT